CATTTAATACTCCTCTTTTGGCGGGGAAGGTTTATTTTTTTATACTTTTAAAATTAATTTTTATTTAGGTTAAAAACCATCTTATTTTAATACCAATCCCACTCCCATCCACTCCTCAGGGAGGGTGAGGCCTTCCATGGGGTATCTTCAGAGTCTGTCACATCATTTGGGGAAGGACCTAGGCCCTCCCCTGTGTAGCTAAGCTGAGAGAGTGTCCCTCCATGGGGAATGGGCTCCCAAAGTCCACTTGTGCACTAGGGATAAACAGACTCATCATATTACTGGAAGAAGTCATATGGGTTGTGAAAGTATTGTAAATATTTAATGTAGAATTTAGTATTCATTTGTGATGCAGGCATGTGGCTTATTTTCATGAGAACTTTGATGTCAGATACCTATCTATCTATCTATCTATCTATCTATCTATCTATCTATCTATCTATCTATCTATCTGTAGCGTTAACCTTGGGCTTGATTTTTGCTTTGGCTTTCTCCATTGTGTAAAATGACTTAAAGAGCAGAGCTGAACAGGTGATAGAGTAGCAGCCCCAATGTCCCTTGTAGTTCTGTATGCAGGCCGTGGTAGGTGTTCTGGTTTTGTTTTCCCAGTGCTCAAGCCAGTTTACCTTTGGCATATCTTCGTGAAGTGTTTTTCAGCTTTTCTGCCAATTGCAAATCCTTTTTGGAAAATCAGTCAGTAACTTTATATTTTAATGTATTGACTGGGTAAAAAAAAAAAAAAATCAAATGCCCCCCAGTGAAAGAAAACAGAATTTAAGAGAACGCTGAGTAGCATTGAAACTCAATTTTTCTGTCATCAATACACATTTTGACACTTTACCAGTCCACTTAAATGCTTTTCCAGGAAAAATATACATTACTATTCAGTAGGATATGTTACTTAATTCTATAAACAAGTTTCTGTTTCCCTTTCCCACAGCATGGAGTAACTTGGTGTGCTCAGTTCAGCTCCAGAGTATACATGTGGAAATCCCACATTACCACTCCATAGGTATTCTAAGGATCCCGGAGGGGGACTCTCCAAGGAGTAATAAGAAGGTTAGATGTGTTTCTAGATGGAGCCAGATCCCATTCCTATTCCTCAGTAACACAAGGGGCTGTGAAGTTTCTACACTTGTGTGAACACTAAGTACTCAGGCACATCATCCTTCCCATCACAGGTCAAGAAGTTGTGCAAGTGCCATCCATGCTTCTGGTCTTTCTCCTAGTCTACTGTGACCAGTGGACTATCTCAGAATTCTTTGGGGTCAAGAATTCTCATGCCTAATGTCCAGAGATCCACAAGGATGACCTCATCTAAGAATCTAAACAAGAGTGGAGAGGCAACCTTAAATGCCCTTCCCCTATAATGAGATTGATGACTACCTTAAATGTCATCCTAGAGCCTTCATCCAGTAGCTGATGGAAGCAGAAGGAGAGATCTACCACTAAAACACTGGGCTGAACTTCTGGAATCCAGTTGTAGAGAGGGAGGAGTGATGAGCAGAGGGGTCAAGACCAGGCTGGGGAAACCCACAGATACAGCTGACCCCAGCCAGACAGCTGGGGAACCAGCATTGGACCAAACCAGGTCCTCTAAACTTGGATGTCAGTTAGGAGGCCTGGGCAGTCTCTGGGGCCTCTGGTAGTGGAACCAGTATTTATTCCCAGTGCAGGAATGGACTTTGGGAGCGCATTCCCCATGGAGGGACACTCTCTCAGCCTAAGTACACAGAGGAGAGCCTAGGCCCTGCCACAAATGATGTGACAGACTTTGAGGATCCCCCATGGAAGGCCTCACCCTCCCTAGGGAGTGGATGGGGAGAGGGATGGGGGTTGGTGGGGAACATGGAAGGGAGAGGGAACTGGGATTGATATGTAAAATAAGATTGTTTCTAATTTAAACAAAAAAGGGGGGGGGAAAGAATTGTTGTGCCCATCTTTCCAGTATCATTATGTTTTCCTTGGTTATTTTTACTTTATTGCCTTCAATTTTATCCCCTAATATACGAATAAGGTTTTCCATAAGGGCATGGCTACAAGCCTTGTAGATAAGAACCTAACTAGAAAAAATAAAATAAAATAAAATAACCTTCCCTATCCAGTAAATAGTGCTTAGAAAGATGGTTAGGTCCTTTAACATGTTTTGACTGAGGATCAGAAATACCCACATTTGAAGTAAGTGGATTGTTTTCATGTTCATATCAATATCAACAGCAGCAAGAATTGCCAAGAGAGAGAAAGCAAAAAAAAAAAAAAAAAAAAAAAAAAAATATGACAGACAGAAGAAGGACAAAAATAAAATAAAATAAAAAGAAAAGCCAACATAGAGTTCATATTAAAAACTAAGTGACTATACCTTGAAGTATCCAAGTGAGAAAAAAAAGAGAGAAAAATGAACATGAAATTTTGTCAGTATGATATAGTCATTTGGCAGTATTATTGATCAATATGAATTATGATAATAGCTTGATGTAAATTGTACTCAGGGTTCTTGTGTATTTGCGATTGCCTTATTCAAACAAGTAATAAGTACTTGATTGTATTTATTTTATGTAGAACTTCTGTGATTTAGTTTTAGACCCGTTCCAAAAATGAGCACATCAAAAGCTAGAGATGGTAAATGACTTGGCTTAACTTCGTATGACCATTACTAAGCACTAGTATTGAAATTTGAACTTGGTCTTTCTGTCTATAAGTAACACCATTGCTTCTGTAGCTAAAAACACCAGAGTGCTTTTCAGATGTCTAATACAGAGCTTCTATTTTGCTCTAGATCTTTCTTATTTTTGGATATATGAATATTTAAAGATTTATTTTATATGTGGGTGTTTTGCTTGCATGTATGTCTGTTGTGTACCTTGTGTGTGTAATTGCCACAGAGGCCTAAAGAGGGTGTCAGATCCCCTGGGACTGGAATTATAGTCAGTTGTTAGCTTCCATATGGGAAGCATGGGTCCTCTTCAAAAGCAGTAAGTGCTCGTAACCACTGAGTCATCTCTCCAGCACCATAAAAATGCTATTTGAGTATGCTGTTGTCAGCGGGAATAGCATGAACTACAAGCCCCACAATGCCTGGTGAGATATGGTGAGCTTACATGTATTCCATGTTGCCTTCTTCTCTTCAAAGGGGACAGAGTTCAGTGCCATTCTTATTTATAGAAACCCAGGGTTCCCCCCATGTGTTATTAACATTTGGACTAGAAGGTTCTTTGTTGTGGGACCTGCCTTCTGCATTGTAGATGATCACAGTACTGCGAGGTGCACATGCCACAATCCAGTGTGACAACCCCAAACCAAATATCTTGTTAATATCGCCAAAGCTGACTGGCCCAGCCGACTTCCACTTCTCTGATGTGTTTATCTAATTATTCTTTATCAATAGAAAACTGGGAGTCAGATATCAGGGTAAGAAGCTGAGTGATCAGGGAAGCGGTGGAGAAGTGATCGGGGACCTCCTCTTCTGTTTCTCCATCCAAAAGGACCGGGGCCCTCTCTTAGCCCTGCCTTTCTACTTCCTGTCTCTCCATCCACACACAGTCCTCAAAAAACTCCATGGTTAATTTTGGTCAGCTAGTGGCTAACTTCATCCCCTGATTCAAAACAAACTTTATTGTCAGAATTCAATCAAAATATCACACAACACTGCTCTAAGGTCAACGTAAGAAGGGGCCTTACTGCAAATGCAAACCCCTTGCACAGTTTCTGTCTTGCGCGTTAGGGCTTTCAAGCCACTAATGACGTGGATGTTGTCTTCACAAAATAAGACAGGTGCATTGCTGAGGTAACAAACAAGGCCTCACTGGATCTTGGCTCTCTAGGGCAGCCGGTCTCATGGCTGGAGTTTGGCATTGTAAGACAGAAGCTCATTCACGTGTCCACTCAGTCCCCGCAGCAGGGAAAGTGAGCACAGGGAAACAAGCATGCGGTTTGGGGGGGGGGGAGTGGCGCTTGTTGGTCATTAACGAAAGCAAGTTGTGTGGGACACATCCAACTCTGAAGCCAAGGGAGGCAGACATGGCTCTGGAGAAGGAGCTAAGAGCTCTGTAGGCAACAGGGAGCGAACTGTGTGTCACATTGAGTATATCTTGAGCATAGGAGACCTCAAAGCATACCCACCCCCACCCCAACAATGACACACTTCCTCTAACACAGCCCTTATTCAGCAAAGCCACACCTCTAATAGTGCCATTCCCTAGGGGCTTACAGGGGCCCATTCCGTTCAAACTATCACATCACCTTTTATGACATATAGAAAAAGTATTTGGGAGCTAATGCATTTATTTTGGTTTTGATTTTATGTAATGCAAGTTCACTGTTTCTGAGGTTTAGCGTGTTTCCCAAGTCCTATACTATTTGGAAAATATTGCATAGGGATAAACAGGTGTGATGGCTGTATTTTAACAATGTGTATTTTTTAATTTTTTAATTTTTTTGGAGACAGGGTTTCTCTGTATTGCTTAGGAGGTTTTCATGGAACTCACTTTGTAGACCAGGCTGGCCTGGAACTCACAGAGATTTGCTTGCCTCTGCTTCCCAAGTGCTGGGATTAAAGGTGTGCACCACCAATGCCCGGCTCTTTATTTTTATTTTTTTATAATTTGAGATGATGGTATTTGTTTTCACATTTAATTTTGGAAGTGTTTGAAATGAATTGATGGATTTTGTTCATCATCCACACAGTGAGCACAACGTGGGGAGTTTATTTCATTACGTTGCTGGATTTAGTTCCTAATGTCCAGTTCCTGGTGTGCATATTGATTCATGATGTGTTGTCCTAAAACAGTAATACTGGTGCATTTAAAAAAATAGTATTGTTTCTTATATCCTTAAAAATCTAGATTGGAAGATTAATTGTATACGTTGTATACAGATACTGAGAACTCAGGTTAGAGCAGTAGTCATTGTTGATCCCATTTGTTTTTTTTTCCAGAATTCTACCAAATATCTGGCTGGGTAGCTGCCCTCGTCAACTAGAACATGTCACTATCAAACTGAAGCATGAATTGGGAATAACAGCTGTCATGAATTTCCAGACTGAATGGGATATCATCCAGAATTCTTCAGGCTGTAACCGCTACCCCGAACCCATGACTCCAGACACCATGATGAAGCTGTACAAGGAAGAAGGCTTGGCCTACATCTGGATGCCCACACCAGACATGAGCACTGAAGGTAAGGGCCAGACAGGGATGAGGGCTTGGCCTACATCTGGATGCCCACACCAGACATGAGCACTGAAGGTAAGGGCCAGACAGGGATGAAGGCTTGGCCTACATCTGGATGCCCACACCAGACATGAGCACTGAAGGTAAGGGCCAGACAGGGAGGAGGGCTTGGCCTACATCTGGATGCCCACAGCAGACATGAGCACTGAAGGTAAGGGCCAGACAGGGATGAGGGCTTGGTCTACATCTGGTGCCCACACCTGGCACACGCTGAGCACTGAAGTAAGGGTCAGAAGCACGCACTCTGGTTCTTTGCTGAACTTTGTCATAGACAGCTTATTGTCTGTGTTTCAGTTGTCTATAATTGAATGTCTTAGATATTAATTATAAAATTGTAATTAACATAGGGATTTAGATTTAATGTCTTTAGGTATTTAATAGGATTCTGTTACGTGGCTTCTTTAAATTTTATACTATGTATACTAAATATGTATTTTATAACATAGACATATATAGTATATATTGTGTATCTACTGTGTGTGCGCCTTATGTTCGTGTCTGGGAGCATGGATTGTAGAGTCCCTGAGGGATGGCAAGTGTTAATGGAATGGACAAAAACAGGCATTTAAAAGCACAATGACTAAGTTTTAAAGAGTCACAGACATTTTGCAGAGCGTGTGTAGATAGTCTAGAAATGCCTTTGAGGAAGTGTCTGAGCTCTGAGTGGAGAAAGGGCGAGGTGGGGAGAGAAGGAAGAAGGAACAGCTTAGAAGAACCCGTATGTCAGGAGAGGAGGCGGCGTGTTGTAGGAGCTGAAAGGCCAGTGTGGATCAAGAGGATGCAAAAGCGCTGCCCGCATCGGGGCTGCAGTGAGAGCGGCCCTGTAAGAGCAAAGCTAGGGCAGAGAAGCCGGGAAGTGCCACGGCTGGCTCTTTCTGTTTTGAGGTTTCCATCAAGAGTGCACTTCACTGCAGCGTGGACAGCCGGGGCTGGGGATCTAGTGGTGTGGGTGCAGTAAGATGGTGAGACTGTGAGAAATGAGGCTGTGGAGAGCATGGCAGGGAGTCAGTCTTGACTGGAGAGCGGGCTTCATGGACCGGTTACCGTGGGTGGGGAAGCAGAGACAGTAAGTCACGGTTGAGACAGAAGATGCAGTAACGCAAGCTCAGAATCAGTTACAGTGTGTGTGTGGGGGGGAGTGGGCAGTGAATGGTGGGCTGCGCTCTGGGTCTGGGGCTTGTGGCTTCCTTCTCAAGAGGGCAGATAGGCAACCTACGTGAATCCCATGGCTTGGACAGGGAGTTGTGAGATGTGGGTAGAGGGAGCTCAATGTGAGTGCAATAAAGAATGTAGACGAAGGCACAGGGGTTTGGAGTTCTAGAAGAGCCCTTTATAGATAGGGTAGACAGCTGCTGAGAAGTAGGGGTAAGAGAGCCGCATCTGGACGACAGGATTAACAATGTGTCAGCAGAGGGCAGCAGAGAGCTGTAGAGTGTTGGGGAGTTACGTGATTTCAAAGAATGGCAGTGAACTCCAAGCCAAGAAGCCAGCAAATGTCTCTCCCCTTCTGCTCTCTCTCGTAGAGGTCTAGTGTGAATCCTGCCCGCTCCTGATTGTGCCTTAACGCATCAAGTTCTCAGAAGGTCCTAGGTAAACGTTACAGTCACCTTCATTTTGGAGAGGAAGAGATAAGCACAGAAAGGGTGTGTGGTGGCACCAGGTCGTCAGTCTGGAAGGAGTCTCAGCCCAGATTTTGAGGGTGCTGGTCAGACCCACAGCAGTGCTCCCCAAGCCAGGCTGCAAAGCAGCAACTACGTGTTTCTTTGTAGAGCTCAGACAGAGTCTACGGACCGACATAATTTCAGTTCCTTGTGTTCATGGTTAGCTACAGGTATGCAAAGCTGTTAAAAATAACGGGGGGGGGGCGTAGCTTATCAATCACCCCCACAACCAGTGGGCTGTAAGCAGAACACTTTGAGGACCGCGGGAACCTGTGTCACTGGCCGCCTTTGGCACTTCAGATACCTCAGGTGACCTTCCTGGCCTGACAGGGCCCTCTGCAGATTTGAGCTGTTCCATCATGGAGGAAGGAACAGTATTATTTATGTTCCTTGAGGTAGGGGGAGATATCAGCACTCCGGTTATTCCTCTTAGCTATCTGATCATATGACTCTTAGCTTAAAGAGCCCCGCCTTTTCTCCAGGCTAAACGGAAACAGAATCCCATCAGCTAACAGAGGGTTGGGTTTGCTTTGCACAGATGGTCTCTGGTTTTAAAACAGCCACAGACTTGTTAGGACATTTGTAGCCCACACAGAGACTTTGATTTGGCTTCTGTGGTTCTAATTTCACAGCACTGTTGCCCATCAGTGTAAATATGAGGGAAGCGGGCGGGGGAACAGTCGAGCTATTAATTCTAACTGCTACTCACCCCACTGCAGAATCCATGCTCTGCTAAATGAAGGCTCTGCTGGCAAATAGGCAGTTTGTTCAGTAGCGTGGGGTCCCTTTATCCACCGGGAACCATTGTGGTTGTACTCCAAGCATTGGAGGGAGGGAGGGGTGTCACTGGGTCACCAGGTGAGTGCATCTAAGGTCCACGTCCTCTGTAGAGCTAGCAGAGCAACTGGATGAGAGCAAAGAAGCACCCCTCCTGGATCCCCGCCTGCAGCAGGACAGACAGACTGACAGACAGGGCAGCGGGACAGACTGGCACTGCATAAAGGACTTGGAGAAGTGACCAAGGAGTTAGCTATTCCTGACTGTGACCGTCTACCAACCGATTAATCTACGTAGCTGACAGTTATATAATAAATGTAGGTGAACCCACCTGGGTATTTTTAGAAGTCCCGGGGAGGGGTGGGATCTGTCTGGGAGTGTTTTGAGCTGCTGCGCAGTGCTGACAGGTTAAGTCTGCAAAGGAGAGAGAGAGTCGGTTAGACGCAGCTGTCACAGGCCTTCTGCAATCAGTTGTCCTGTTGACCCTCCTCCCTGTTTTGCATTTTATCATATATGGCGTAGTAGACAACCTTCCTTTCCTTTAGTCTTTTGTTTTGCCTCTTTCACCTGGGAAATGAAAAATCTCCAAATTCCAGCAGCTACCTCAGTGAAATGAACGTCGTTTGCTCATTAGGACTTCCTTCTCAGGGGAAGTCAGACGCGCGGTTGACCTCTGTGCCAATAACGCGCTCTTCCCTTCCCGTTGAGCTCTAAGGGTCCCGGTGTTGCTTTGTCCACACCGCCTCGGTTGGTCGTCCTCTCAGCAGGCTGAATCCATCTCAGTCTTTATGCAAAGCACACTGACCATGGCACCGGAAGCTCAGCAAGGTGGAGCTTTGTAGGCATTGAGTAGCTTGGAATGTCGGCAGGTTAATTTTAGCACTGGACACCTAAGGGTGGGAATCTCTACTAACTAGATTTTAATTGTTAGTATCCAGGCATCTGTACCGGCCTGCCCTTGGGGTTCTCACAGGATACGCCCTCAGCTGCAGCCACTAAGAGCACCACCTGTGCACATTCACTACGTTTTCTTTTAAAGGGCCCTGCCCACCTCCCATCCTCCCCTCTTCCTTTCTCTCCCTCTTCCCCTCTCTCCCCCTCTTTCCTCTCTCCTGCGGCTCCCATCCCCGGAGGCTGGTCTCTCCCTTTCCCTTTCTATGATCCCTTTCCCTAATCAAAAACCCCTCAGCCTGAATCCCATTGCATGGCATCTTTCTCTCATGCACCGTTTTTCTTAAGTTACAACAACAATAGTTGATTAGACACAATTTTTTTAAAAAATTATTTTATTAATTTTCTGAGAATTTCATAAAATATATTTTGACCAATGACTCCTCCCTGCAATTCCTTCCAGATCTACTCCCACACCTTCACCTTCGTATACCCTTCCCACATCGTGTTCTCTGTTTGTTTGCTTTGTATATAACTGTGGGGTCTGCTTTGTGCTGACCATATGATGTGGGGCCATCCTCTGCAGCATGGCCAGCCTACAGGAGACACACTCGTGAAGAAAACTGACTCTCTTTGCCTAGAAGCTATCAAGGGCCCATAGCTCCTCAGATTGGAGTTCTTTAACATTCTACAAAGGATGTTACAGATAAGATGACCCTCATCTGTATTCTTATATGTTTCCCCCGGGCTAAGAAAGGAAAAATTTTCAAGCATGCTGTGGATTTCTTTCTTGATCAACCTTAGACAAAGCAAAGCATCCCTTTCGGGGCCTTTGGCCTCCCTTATTTAAGGTCCTAAAGTACCAGGTGCTAAAAACCTATTTGTTTTTTGTAACCTAGGCTTGTTTAATATCTACTCCCCTTTCGGGAAGTTTCTAGTCATCCCAGACTTCAATCAGCCCTATAGCAGGTTTTGAACACAGGGTAGAACAGAGCAGTCAACTGTGTCTCAGATCAAACAAATGGTATTGCTTCATCGTTGTTCTTTGTTCACTTTTGATTGAGGTATTTAATGATTGTTGAGTGAGCATCTACTTACACCCAATGCTTGTTTTAAATTCCAAGGCGAGAAACGTAGATGCTGGAGTGTTTTGATTGACCTACCATTTTTTTTTTTCAATTTAGTTAGCAACATTGAAAATCTGGAATATTTTTCATAAAAAATAGTCTGGGAGCAGGGGTGATTGCTCCGTGGTTAAAAGCAGTAGTTGTTCCTGCAGAAGACTCAGGTTTGGTTCCCAGAACCCACGTAGTAGCCCACAACAGCCTGTAACTCCAGTTTCCGGGCATCTGACATCATCTTCTGGCTTCCACTGGTATAAGGTATGGTGGGGCACATGTATATTCCTGGAGGCAAACACTCATACACATAAGTTAACAAGTAACCCTTTAGGAAAAGAATCTGATTATTTTTACCTTACTGTTTTAAGGCTGAAAGCTTTTTATCAAATTAAGTTCCACGTGAAACATGTGTTTGCGTGCGTGTGCACGCACACACACGCACGCACACACACGCACACACACACATGAAATGTGACTTTGTATGTTCTGGTTGATACTGTCTCTCTTGTACAGTGAAGACCCTCTTTTCATTCTTGGTGACTCTGGCTCTGCCCTGGGGCCCTTGGATGCAGACTTCTTAGACTGCTGGGAAGACACTGAAGTCACACAGGGACTTTGAGAATCCAGACTGAGATGAGAGACAGAAAATGTCAGCAACCGGGTGGATTAGGAGGGAACACAGCACAGGGGTCGAGGCCAGAGGCTTCGGGGTCAGAGTGCTGCCCTTGAGTGGCCACTTGAGGATTCCGTTGGGACAAATCTCTGCCTTGGCTCCTTCATGTAAATATTGAAGGTGACAGAAAGCACTTGTTATAGGATATTCTCAGATGTGCAAGACTCTATCCCTAACTCCTAAGCTGAGAACTTGTTTATTGAAATTAAGTTGTTTTCATCCAATACATTTCATTATGGGCTCCCCTTCCTCCACTTCTAAATCTTCCCCACCCACCCTAATCCACACCTTTCTTTCTTTCTCTTATTTAGAAAACAAACAGGCATCTAAAAAAAAAAAAAGGTATAATATAAAAACAACCAGAAAAGGACAAAACAAACAAATAGAAAAAGAGGAGCCAGAAAAAGCACTAGAAACAGAAACACACACGTTAGCACCCAGAGAGAACCCATAAATAAGACAAAACCAGAAATTGTAATATATAAACAAAAGATGTATAATGTTAAAAAAAAAAGTTCACTCTAATCATCATCATCACACACATCCTTTCTAAATGCCACTAAGTTAAGGTCTGTTCTTATACATGGTTGTGGTTGTGTACCCAATGGACTCTATTGTATAAAATGAATTTTTCCCTTGGAAGCAGTTATCAATTGGAGATTGCTTTTGAGCCAGGATTGAGGCATGTGTCCACACTTCCTCTCAGCACTGGAACCGTGTTTAGGGTAGAGCTGCAGAGGCCCCAATGCCACAGTCTCTGAGAGCTCATGTTCAGTTCTGTTGAGTCTAGTAGATGTTGTTTCTTTGGTGTTTTCTACTTCCCCTGACTCTCAGACTCCTTCGATCTCCTTTGCCACGGAGTTCCTTTAGCCCCCAAGGGAGGGATAGGTGGAGACATCCTACTTTGGACTGAATGTTCCAAGGTCTCTCATTCTGTGCACGTTGTACAGTTATGGGTCTCAGCATTTGTTCCCATCTACTGAAGAAGGAAGCTTCTAGACAGTTATTGGTTACTGTCACAAATTTTTGTGCCACTCCTGGACCAGCATATCTTGTAGGCAGGACACCATTGTAGACCCCAGGGTTTGTAGCTGGGTTGGAGTTCACCTTTCTACTCTGGTAGCATGAAGAGTTCCTTCTGTACAATGAACTTTAAACTGGTCTGTAGGTGTGAAGGCTCTAGGTAGGCACCACCTTGACTTCTGTGTATTCAGTGAGTTGTATAGGTGTTGTCTTAATCAATAGGGCCTTACCAGCAGTTTGTGGAGAGTAACGGATAGTCTTGGCAATAGATTGGGTTGTTTGTGGGGTTCAGTGGAGCCCCTTTGGCGAGCAACACAATTATATGTAACCCATTCCTGGCATCGGCAGTTCATTTGCTGGTGTGTAACGTCTAGTTGCAGCTTTATTTGATAATTCCACTTAGATTTCCCTCAAATAATTTAAGAAGCTTCTACTGCAGTGTCTGTTTCCAAATTACCTCTCAAATGGCCCTTAGGTTTATGTCTCCCTCCCCGAATTCCTCCTTTATTCCCTCCTTTTCGTCCCTCCCCCCTTGTTTGTTCTTCCTATTCTAATCCCCTTCCCATCCATCCTTTCCCAGGGGGATCCTCCTCCTCCCCCTAACCCCTTCCTCTATACCTGACCGCTGTGGTTATACAGACTGTAGCCTGTTTATCAAAGACATAAGAGCTAACATCCACATGTAAGACAATACACATGATATTTGTCTTTTTTGGGTCTAGGTTACCTCACTCAGGATGATTTTTGTCTGACAGTGAATTTCATGCTTTGTTCTTTTTAACAGATGGGTAATGTGTCATTGTGTAAATGTGCCACATTTTTTTTTTTAATCTACTTATTCACTGGCCGACATCTAGGCTGTTTCCAGTGTCTGGGTATAGCGAGTAGAACAGCAATAAACACAACTGAGCAAATGCCTGTCTTGTAGGATGTAGAGACCTTTGGGTATGTGTCCAGTCATGGTGTCGCCATATCCTAAGGTAGATCTATTCCCAGCTCTCTGCGGAACCACCACACCGATTTCCATAGTGGCTGTGAAGTGTCCTTGTCTCTTGAATGACCTTTCTGCAGATGGAAAGGAAAGGTGAAGCGTATCACGTTACCTAGGCTGTTGGAGCAGAGCTGTCCTTGGAGAACATCTGCAGACTCAGTCTGGACTGGTTCTGTGAGCCCCGAGCTCTTACTGCAAACAGCCCCTCTGGTCTATGAATAGACTGGACATTTGATTCTAAAATTATATTTAAGATATTCCTGTGTAATTCCTGCCATGGAATTAAATATGAGGAATTTTTCCAGGGATACTAGTGGTGGCAGAACAGAAAGAACATGATTCCTAGGATTATCAGGGGGGATTCTTTTCATGCCAGAAACTACTCACAGACTTCACTGCGATGGAGCAGGTGAGATCCTTCTTAGCATAGCCAGTGCAACACACCCTGGATGTTTGCCGCCTCTGACCGCTTGAGACAAATGGTGGATCCAGCACTTAGTCCTGTTACTGAGATTGCCAGGAGGAACCCACTGGCCCATGTGATGCTCTGGATATGGGGCTCCAGGAGGAGCCAGGCTACCCAGCTGAAGCCAGGAGTGCAGATTGAGTGAAGTTAACACGTGTGCCTCTGTGGGTATAGTGGAAGCTGGTGTGTGTAGATGCTACCAGGGACTGGTGGAGAGAGAGAGAGAGAGAGAGAGAGAGAGAGAGAGAGAGAGAGAGAGAGAGAGAGAGAGAGAGAGGAGGACAGAAGAGAGAGGGGAGAGAGAGAGAGAGAGAGAGAGAGAGAGAGGAGAGAGACATAGAGAGATGGACACACACACACACACACACACTCAGACACACCGAGAGAAAGGCAATCTGTCAGTTTGAGAGGGTGTCCTGTGTGCATTTCCATGACCACATTCAAAGACTGGGCTGTCATCATGGCTTTGTTGCAGGTTGTTTCTCTCTCAGAGCATGACAAGCTTGAAGTGAGGTAGGTGACTGAGGGGACCTTGGAGCCATGATGAGCTTCTGTGAAAACTCTACCTTCCCCATTCCAAGGCACTTGAGGGTATTAGTGCTTCTAAGAAAAATATGTCAGGAGTGAAAGCTGCAGGGGAAGATTCTAGACTTCAGTGAAGATCCACGGGTGAGGGAGGGGCTGCTAATCTCTTCAGTCATCCAACAGGAAACACAATATGGACACTAGATAGGTGGTCTCTGTAGTCCCTGGAGATCCTCCTGGGGCCGTCGGGTCCCCCTCCATCATTTACAGAGAAACTGGGGAATGCCAAGTTGTAAGAGCAAAGGTGAAACCCAGTAGTTCTGAGTAACCATACTCTTTCATTTGTCATGATGCTGTCCACCAAAATACTAGACAGATAAACAGGAGTCTCACTCAATATCTATAGAGAGAATGTGTGAGCAGAAAGAATGGTCATCTCAGAGCTCAGAGGCTGCTTGGTTATTAAGCCCCTGCCCGACAGGATGCAGGAGCAGCTGGGGCTCAGCCAGATCCAGTGTACTTCTCAGGATGGGGAGAGATTGATCATCAGAATGGCAGCCAGAGGACAGTAACAACTGTGGCTACAGCTTTCCAATAATAAAGAGGTCAAATCCCGGTCAGTATTCCCTGGATTGTGGTGGCATAAATGACTGGTCACCACACATGAATTACTTGAATGAAAACCAGCGTATTCAATTCTGTCTCAAACTGCATCTGCCAATCAATGAGTGTGTTTGAGTCGTAAACCAGTGTGGACTAATCGTGTGCTTTTTGTCTGCCTGGAAGAACGGGTAGCGAGACTGAGAGGGACAGGATTTATCAGGCTTTCTTTCAAACCTTCTAAAGCCACCGCCCAATCTCTGCAAACACTTCTAAAAAGATGCTAAAATCCTTTCCTCAGTCCCCCACCTTCCCCAAAACATGACTTAGTTAACTTCGTGGAGAGATTTGCATCAAGGTCGAAGTTGCTCAAAAAGCAGCTGGAATAGTTAGGTTCAGAATGGACCGTTTGCCTCTGGGATGCTCTCTCCACCTTGGTATTCTCAGGTATTAAATGCGTTTCACATGTGTAAAACAGTAAATGTAGCAAACTGCCAGACCCCGTCCCCGCGAGCTCAGGGTTCTGCGCTGCCGGGATTTCTAGCGGCGACAGCAGTTTCTCTAGTGGCTCATGTGCTGTGCTTTCTCCGTCCAGGCCGAGTGCAGATGCTGCCACAGGCTGTGTGCCTCCTGCACGCCCTGCTGGAGAACGGACACACTGTGTACGTCCACTGCAACGCTGGGGTGGGCCGCTCCACCGCTGCCGTGTGTGGCTGGCTCCACTACGTGATTGGCTGGAGCCTGCGGAAGGTGCAGTACTTCATCATGGCCAAGAGGCCCTGCGGTCTACATCGATGAAGAAGCCCTGGCCCAGGCGCAGGAAGACTTCTTTCACAAGTTTGGGAAGGTTCACTCTTCCATATGCAGCTTATAGGTGGCCAATCTGCCTCTCCTTCGAGTTAGTGGAAGAGCTACAGACGAAGACCCCATCGGAACTGAGGGGGGCTGTAGCCCACAGGTCACCCGGGGATACCCTCTATAACGGCTTGGTAGGGATTATCTTTGAAATATGTTACAAAGGAAACTGCATGGCACATAAGAAAAAATGCGAAGTCAGCTGGGCAGTGCAATGTAGGCTTGCGGTTGCTATGGCCGTAAGCAGGGGTTGTTATGGATTTATGATGCTTTAGCATGCAGAAGACAAGAGCGTGGCTATGTGGATTTTATCATTACTGTGAGTGTGACACACACACACACACACACACACACACACACATGTGCACGTACAAAATACAGGCATCTTTTCTAGTGAACCGAAATTCTAGTCATTTGCCAGTGGAAGGGATAAATATATAACCCTGAATTCAATGCATAAAGACCATGCATGGGCATAGACCACTGGCTTTCTGTAATTTTCTTCATCCTGTCTCATAGTTGTTACCATCTCTGAGATACACCCTCCTTATTGTCCTGCCCTCCCCACGTGACAGTAGGAGTGGTTAGCCCTGGTTTTTTCTTGTCTTTTACTAGTCATTTCCCCCCTCAAGACAGAGTTCATATACTCAATTTAGCATACTCCCTTTCTGCCTCATCTGCCAAGAACCGGGATTGTAGGTGTGCGTTCCCTCATGCGGCACCACCGTTTCCCAGTGGAGGTTTATTGAGCGGAGCTGGCTGGCCCAAGTCTCGTGGAAAGTAGGAACAAGGTGAAGTCTGTAATTCAATCTGTTTGGCTCACTGCTGCTTTCCTTATAATTAATTGGCCAGCCGACTGTCATGGATGCAGCTTGGCCTCTGTCAGGGTAAAGTTGCTACCCCTGTGGTTGTTTCTACAGTGAGAAGTGGGATGGTGAATTAAGGAAAACCATTTTATTCCCTTCGGCCTCCTTGAAGCCGTGGCGTGTGATTTCAAGGCCAGTGTATCTGAGTCATAGCTCATGAGTGGACGGAGCCTGAGGAGGCCAGTCCACAGATCAGTGTTGTACAGCTAAGAGCAGTTGTCAGTTCAGTGTAGCACGCATTGCTCTTCCTCCCAAACATGTTCTTCATTCCATTAGGTTTTAACAGAAGGACAAATATCAGCAAAGCTTTGCCTCCCAAGATGTACATTCTAGAAACATCTACGTTCCGCCCCTGGAAGACAGTCCCCATCTACAACTGACATATTAGGGCACAGAACTGTGAACCAGTTGCTTTCCCACCTCTAATGCCATGGCAGTTCGGCTCTGGGAAGAGTTACTGTCTCTGTTTCCATGGGAACCGAGGCCCAGAGAGGGGGAAGCATGTATCCATTGCTGTTGTCATTGACAGAGTGCAAAGCTAGGTTTGTCTCTTAGATCCCACACTGTCAAAAGTTCAAAGGTGAGGCACAGATGTGTGTCTGGTCCTTATTTTATAAGCACGTGTTAACAGGTAGAAGAGGCCAGAGCCTGAGTCCCAGTAGTGCTCAGAATAGGGAGAGATGTCTAGGCATGGCGGCACTCAGGTAGCAAAGGAGAGAGAGGTTTCAGCGTGGCAGCAAGACACCCAGGGGAGGTGGCCTTTGCTTTGGACAGAGCATCCTACAAGAAATATTTCTCCTACAGTTACAAGGTGAAGTCTGTAGAACCAACATTGAGTCATGCCCAGCCTCTTCTACAAAATATAGCTAGGTGTAGTAGCTCTTGTGTCTAAGAACCAATCCATAGTCATAATGTATTAGGTAAAATTTAATTTTTAAATGGGATATTTTAAACTAATATGGTGTGATTGTGTGTGTGTGTGTGTGTGTGTGTGTGTGTGTGTGATAGATAGATAGGTAGATAGATAGTGCCAGCTTTTTCTTAATGTCTTAAGAAATCTGGCTATACAAGTTCCACCATACAACGGCCCTTTTCAGGTGGCTTTTTCTTTATGGCTCTGATAAAATTGTGGAGAACCATTGACGAACATTTTAGAATGACCCCCTTGCCCTCAGTGAATGAGTTGTCTAATGTATCTCAAAATCACCTGGGAGTTTTGCTAAATAAAAGCATAAAAAAAAGACCTTTGTGGCACAGAATTGTTTAGTGCTGTCAACTTACTCAGAAGAGCACACTTTTTTTTTTTGAAATTTGTAAAAAGGGTATTCAGCTGGGCAAAATCCCCTTTGCTTTGCTGTCCTTTCTCATTAACCCATGAGAAAGGGTGGCTGACAGAAGTCTCATATGGCAGCCCCGCCAAGAAGTGAAGGTGAAGCTCAAGAATGTTGGGGGAGACCCCAGAAGATTCTGTCTCAAGTGGCTCTTACTGAGCACATTTTTGGGTGTGGGTATGTGCAAGGTGCTGGCCCTCACAAATGCTAAAGTACCCTAAACACTGAACTATACCTCCAGACCACTGAAACTTCACTCACAGGATTCTCACAGGGAATCCTAAGAAGAGCTCATGCTTGCTTAAGGAAGGCCAAGGTACCATTACTGTCTTTTAGACTCCAAACATGTCCTTTTATTTTGTGGGCCAAAATTGGTAAAAAGAAAAAAAATCAACAAAACATTTTTTTTCCTCTTTGTCCATTTGGTTTGTCCTAAAAAATGTTGAAGGGAAAAAGGTAATTAAGAGTGTGAGGTGTGACGAGAGGGAAACAATGGAGCGAGAGACTCAAAAGTGAACTAAGTGGAATTCGAACTCTCCGCACACTGCAACAGAGAGGCAAGATGGAGGGATAAGATCAAAATCCCCTTTAAAGAGAATCAAATGCAATTCTGTTAGAGGAGAAAGAGCCAAAACTCCATATCATAAGGCAGTGTTGTAACTGAGGGCCAGAGGAGACAGGTAAGACGGAACACAGGTAAGGTGATTATCCTGGTGTGGAGGAGAAGAGAAGGCTCAGTAAAGATGAAATCAAACAACACAACGGGGGAAGACTTGCTGGAAGGGTTAATGAAAACGGGGGTAAGCGGATGGAGAAAGAGAGTAAACACAAAGCTAAGGTATAGTTCTGTCTTAGTTTCTATTGCTGTGAAGAGACAGAGTGACCGCGGCGATTGGTCCAGAGGGTTAGGGTTCATAACCATCACGCATGGCAGGCAGCATGTTGCCGGCATAGTGGCTGAGAGCCCACATCTGAGGGTTGGAGGCACAGAGAGACAGAGGGACAGAGGGAGAGAAACTGGGAATGGTGTGGCCTTTTGAAACCTCAAAGCCCACTCCTAGTTACACTCTGCTCTAACAAGACCACACCTGCTAATCCTTTCCAAGCAGTTCAGCCTACTGGTATTCAAATATGTGCATCTTTGGGCACATTCAACCGCCACAACCGCTAGGAAGCGGAGGGGCCGCTTTCAGGAGGAGTCAGGAACATGGTACAATGGGAGTGAACGGAAAGGCAAGCTCTGTGCTCAAGAGACAAGATAAGCACGTAGCTACTTCTCAGAGGCACAGGAGCCTATTAACAAGAATCAGCTGTAAGGAATGCTTCAGTCCGACAGCGAGAACAGTGTCTTTTATTACCACTAGAAAAGGAAAGGAAATCTGAAAGAGCAAGCCTAAGAGTAAAGGGAGAAATGGATGGAGCTGCTTCTGCATAAAAATAAGGACAATACTAAAGGGAAGAGGAAGAGGATACATGGAACAGTTCCTTGGCCCTAAACCATTATACCAGACGTCTTCTCCATCTGTCTCATGGATACACGTGTCTGCCTTTCATTGTAACAGAACACTTGAGGCTTCTTTGGCTAATGAATGAAGAGGAAGGACTTATTTTTTTTTTCTCATGATTGTGGCCCCTTAGAACTTTGGCCTGGCTTCTGTGCTGCTTCAGCTCTTGAAATAATGGACACATGGTCACAGGTGAGACCGAAATTGGAGCCAGTCTGGCTAAACCATTTCTACAAGAGAGACATTAACTATCCATAAGGGATCTGACCCTACCTCCCAGCACTGAAACATCAAGTAATTAAGGTTTCTGTACTTGATCTTCCAGGGGATACAATAAGCAGTAGGTTTGTCCCCAAGATGTGTTACCCTTCTATCTTCCAGACATCAAATCCGAACCTTCAGGATGGCATGTCATATCTCTGGTATAAATATCTTGACTTCTTTGCAAAATAGCTTCTCAGAGTCAGTCTGGCCACATTGCTGGGTTTCAAGAATATGTCTATACGCGGTTCTTGATTCTGTTCCTCCTCCAATAATTCCCACACCTATCTAATATGCTCTACATAGTGGTCCATGAGGCATCAGACTTATGGCCAAATTCCAATGATACCGATGGTAAAAGTCAAAACTTCCACAGGTTCATATAATCTGTATCCCTGATCTCCTTCTGACCTGATAGTCTACTGTCTTCCATGTTTTTTGATCTGCTCCAGCTATAGGTTTCTTGCTATTCTTTGTATATCCTAGGCAGGTTTCAACTCAAGACCCTTAGACTTGCTGTTATCCCGACTGTACTGCTGTTAGGCTGTGCTTTGTCTCTTTGAATTTCACATGCTGGAAACATGAGCCTTTGGGTGACCTCGTGGAGAGCATTGGAACCTTTAGGTGGTGGACACTATCAGCAGGTAATTAGATCGTTTATGGAAGCTCTTTCAAGAAAGGATTAATGTAATTTTCATGGGACCCTAGTTGGTTTTCATGTGAGTGTTGTATAGCAAGGCTACTGATGCTCTGGTATTTTCACACAGCCATTTCCCCTATCTCTCTCCCACCACATGCAACAGAGTCATGGGCATCTTCTCCAGAGGTTGAATCTGTTGGCCCCTCTAATCTGGGACACTCATCTTCTGAAACTGTGAGATAAGCAAGTCAATTTTAATTGTGAAGCCTCTAGAGTTTTGTTACAACAGGAAACAGATTAGTACAAACAGGGATGCTTTCTCCAGCAATGTATACTTCCCTCAGTGATGCCTACTGGGACCTCGACTGGATTCATCACTGCTGCTCCATAGCCATGGCTTTATTTCTCTTTAAAGAGCTTGTGGTGGGATGGCATAA